TTTACTGATCTGGTTTTGTATTGATCATTATTTATGTATTTATCACTCAAAATCTGCTTGAACGACCTGAGGCGGCCGCGCCCGCAAAATCGCCGCGGTCCCACGTGGCCAAAAAAGCCAAAACTCGCGTTGTCGTCAATGTGTTAATGTGAGTCTGTCCTTCCTCACAATTCCTTCAGGAAATTGTGCAGATGACAAAAACTGATGCGAACTGAGAACCTCGAGACGCTTTTTAGATTGCCGAACTGACCAATGAACCCTTCTTTGTTAGAAAACCTGTAAAATAGACTTTACATTTGCTAACGATTTCAGTTTATCACTTGAATGCATCTTTTGGTTGGAAGAGAGACGATTTTCTGAAAGATCAAAAGGAGATAGTTTACTTGGTAAGTGTTTATTTTGAAGCATATGATCATTTCCCGTTCAGCGAAGAAGAAGGGCTAAGGAACAAGTTACGTGGTATAACCCTCTCAGTTGCCAACGATAAGCAAGACAAGGCCTAGAGCTACGAATTATGTAATTCATATCTAAAATACCCATTCAGGATCTATCCGTGTGGGACTCAAGGATGCGGGATTCCATGAGCAGAGTGTCAACACTTTTTCTTGGGATGTGCCGCAGTAAGAATCTTTTGTTCCTAATTCACGATTCTGATTTTTCTGCGCTTTTTTAAATTTTATGCTGGATTCTGATCAGAAGTTAAGACGCTACTACCACAGATTTCGAAATTTTTCCTGCTTGTTGATCTTTCGCACTGCAGCTTGAGTTTTGTTCCAGGACTCTGAGTCATGCACAGAACGTGATAAGGTCGATGTCAGACTTTGCGAATCGAGTGACTCGTTGGCCGCGACGCGGCCGCGGACGCTAGCGATTCGGTTTATTCGTAAAGCCTGACATCGGCCTAATACCGGCAGAGCACGCCCACCTTTATAACTTGCCAAGCGTCGAGCTTTCCAGCTGCATAGCTGTGACTAAATTGTTTTCTCTCGGTATTTCGAGAGTGCAACTGTGGAACCGAATTCGGGAGTGCTATTTATCTTTAGGGACAGCACGCTTTTGAGCACTCTGCCGCTAAGAATAAGATAATGATAAGCGGCCTATTTGAAGCGCATTCTTGATAAGCTCCGGTGAGCGACTTACATCCCATAGATCTTGCCCACGTCCTATCTAATTTTCGCACCTGGTCATCCACCATGGAGCTTCCCGCCCTTACACCTAGGAATATCCATTTTTGGTTCAGAACTGTTTCCACGAACCATTGGAGGTCCAAATGTGACACCATTTAAGCACACACTATATTAGAAGTACGTTCCTATTGAGTCAATTACTTGCTAGATTACGTGTCATGAAGCTTTTTTTATCTTCAGTATTGGAGAGCATAACGTGATGTCTCCCCCCGAACTCTAGTTTCATCTTGCAACTGTAACAAATAATATAATAATGACCCAACCAGGGCTTTCCAAATTCGCCGATTTCAGCTCAAAACGCATTCATACATCCATCTGAAGCCCATCCTGTGCAGTTTCTTGGAAGCTCATCCTTCTGATCACTTTAGCTTTTTGGATTATTTCCAGCGGAACTCTTTATTTTGAGGAGCATTTTTAGAAGTGGTTGAGAACAAGAAATTTCTGGACTGGCTGATGTCTCAAAAATTTGATCTCGCTTTCGCTTACACGGCGGACGCATGCCCAATTGGTCTTGTTCACTTAGCGAAAATACCCACATGGATTTGGTTGAGCAGGAACGGTTTCAATTTCTCGTACAGCTCTCTGATTCTACTTGATCCGCCATTTCTTTCAGTGCCGGATTGATGGATTACGCTGCATATCACATGGGAGTGCCAATGGTGCCAAGCTACATTCCACGTAAGTCTACACCTAAGTTTGCCTCGTAATGACCCCCAGAAGAAGCCATGCTGCTCTAGGCTGCTATTGACATCTTCAAAACAGCACCTGGAAATAAAGAAGTTGGGAATCGATTAAAATGCCAACAACAATAGAGTAATTCGATTAAAAATTCAGCACACATTTAGCACTTACCAATTAGTCGATTCGTCACAAAGGTACCGCGACACGTGACTGTCCCTCGGCTCAGGCAAGAGACAGAGTCACGCAGGGACTGAGTCGCAGCTGTCTTCAATGTATGATGTATGAACGTATCATATGGTACATTCTATTTGAACTCTGACGACAAATGTACTCTACGTACTCTCGACGCTGCGATCGTCCCCTGACTCTGCCTTGTTGCAGCACGACGGGGAGTACTCGACAGCGGACGAGTTGCATCGCGTCAAGGTAAATAGAATGTACCATTGCACGTCCTACATCGCACAGCACGCGCTGCGTATCCTCGTGGTTCTCCATGCTTTCTTTCGTCTGCGCGACAGGCCCGGCCCTGTTAGGCGTTACCCTGTTTACGTAAAGCATTGGTAGTATTATTCTGACCATGAGCACATTATATCTAATGTTTCAATGTGTAAGTCACATATAACTTTACAAGTGTTCGCAATAGCGACGAATAAACCATACGAAAACTACCATAATTGAAGTGTTCCCCGTTTTTGTGTTCGGAAATGGTGCCAGAATAGACTCTGGATACGGCGCTAAGATAGTAAGAACAGAAGAGAGACATGCAATCCAAGAGACGCAAGATCAGCGTGGATGTGCAGATGGCTTAATGTCCAAGAGTTCGCTATTCGCCGCGCGACTTCGCCGATCATACTTTGCGATGGTGATTGTCGGCAATCTCTCCGCCATTTCTGCTGTATGTTGATTGATCGAATGACGACTGTTCGCTTGATTCATACTTAGTCTATGTTTCAATGAATGCAAATGTTCAATACGGAGTTATATCCTTCTATTTTATAAAGCGCTAACTTTGTGTGTCGGTTTGTGTGTCTGTATGTGTGTGTGTATGTATGTATGTGTGTCCGTCCGCAAAATGAAGTGAGTGAGAAGGAAGCTCATGGGATAAACAAACCGCTAACAGAATCATGTAGCTCACAGGACTTTAGCTATTAGTGTTTTGCAATGGCATGATTGTGATAGCATCCCCAACGGCTATATAAACACGCACTTAGCACACTTTCGGTCATTCGACAAGGTGATGCTGTGGTAGCCGGCGAGCAGAGGGGAACGAGGGGAGAGTAAGGAGAGGAGGGAGAAGGGAAAGCTTACGCAAGGTAGGGAGGTTCCGGCGCTTGCCGGGGGACCAATCTGGTGTGATTAAATATAGTATAGCAACGAATTCTTTATCGATTTGCGCGATTTCGCGCGTCGGGATCGCGACACTGACACCAGCGCACGGCGAATATAAGCCCTGTTTTTTAGCAACACTCTCCGGTGACAAGGATTCGGCTCCCTTGTTGTGAACAACTACACTGCGTTCAATAATGATGCAGCCACCTAAAATTTGTTCGAAAACTTAAAGTTCACAGAGTTTCTGGGAATGTCTGGATAGAAATGTGACAAATTTCATGGCGAGTTCAGATACGAACACAAAAATCCATGTCGAAAACATTGAAAAATTTTGTGCTTATTTTTTCAGAAGAGGTCGATTTTCCTATGTTCAAAAATGATACAGCCACCCCGTGTTTCTTCGTTGAAATTCATTTTTGCTTCATGAAACTGATTCGCAGTTATCAGGCTTTCACCTTAATGTTCCCACAAAACAAGACCAAAAGAGACAGTTTGGTTTTCAAAAAAGGTAAACTGTAGCAAAAGAGGACCAGGAATCGTCAAGCAGTCATATTGCGAAAAAATTAAGTCAAGGCTCCAATACGGTTAAGCAATCTTTTCTGGATTCCTGTAGGTTATGGAACAACGAAGAGCTCTGGATGTTCATCATTGCTTTTTGGTCAATTTAAACTTCGCATTTTGGGGAAACATTTCAATTTCATCGAACAGTGCCCGGAATTCCAGTCTTCTTTCAGAATTAAACTTTCAATGGATATTGTTTGGGATGTGTTGAAGAATTTCCGAGGTCATTCTTCAATGGAGAATAAGAGAAACCTTGTTTGTGAAAAGAAATTCTCTCGAAAACTGAGACATTTTTTTGACTCTGATAAGTGCTACGCCTGTCGACTGGAGCGAGATCAATTCTTTTGTCTGTTGTGTCTTACTTTCTTTTCACTTTATTTCGAGTTTTTCTCTCCTCATTGAAGGTTTTTCCTTTTCGTTAGACTCATATGAACGAAAAACCCTTAATAGAAAGAAAAAAAAGAAACGCAACAGAAAGTAAGACATAACAGACAAAAGAACTGATCTTGCTCCAGTGGACGTGGCTACACTTTCGAGCAAAAAATGTCTCAGTTTTCGAGAGAATTTCTTTTCACAAACAAGGTTTCTTTAATTCTCCATTGAAGAATGACCTCGGAAATCTTCAACACATCCCAAACAATATCCATTGAAAGTTTAATTCTGAAAGAAGACTGGAATTCCGGGCACTGTTCGATGAAATTGAAATGTTTCCCCAAAATGCGAAGTTTAAATTGACCAAAAAGCAATGATGAACATCCAGAGCTCTTCTTTGTTCCATAACCTACAGGATTCCAGAAAAGATTGTTAACCGTATTGGAGCTTTGACTCAATTTTTGCGCAATATGACTGCTTGACGATTCCTGGTCCTTTTTTGCTACAGTTTACCCTTTTTCAAAATCCAACTGTCTTTTTTATCTTGTGGGAACATTAAGGTGAAAGCCTGATAACTGCGAATCAGTTTCATGAAGCAAAAATGAATTTCAACGAAGAAACACGGGGTGGCTGTATCATTTTTGAACATAGGAAAATCGACCTCTTCTGAAAAAATAAGCACAAAATTTTTAGTGTTTTCGACATGGATTTTTGTGTTGATATCTGAACTCGCCATGAAATTTGTCACATTTTCTATCTGGACAGTTTTTCAGAAACTCTATGAACTTTAAGTTTTCGAACAAATTTTAGGTGGCTGTATCATTATTGAACGCAGTGTACATTTTGTTCACCAAGGGCCCTATCCAGCTGAGTAAATCATGAATAGCCTTCAATCGCTAATGCTCCCAGAAATGGTTCTCAGTCAAGGATGCTAACCTAAGTCACAAACATTCTTTCTCACTTTTCAGCAATAGTGATGGAGAGCACTGACGAGATGAACTTTTACGAGAGGACAAAAAGTCTGATCGGGCAATTTCTGACGGTCTACTTGTGGGAAAGGTGGGCATTATTTGTTTCCAATGCACATATTTTCTGCGCATAATTATGTATGTCTCTTACTACTAACCATAAGTGCATCACTTTAGGTTCCATAGGTCAATTTTAAACATAGTAAATCTCGTAAGCTTGGTGAAAAAATTACAGAAAAGTTTCAGTAGGTGAAATCTTATACGCTCTACAGTTCATGCATTTCAGAACGTTCGCTGATGAGCAAACGGCGATTTTTCGCGAGGCTGACCCAAATTTTCCTCATCTTGTCGAGTTAACAAGGAAATGCCCATTGGTAGTTTTGCTATGTGACAATTCAGCGACCACTCAAAGTACACTGTTATCAATAATCCTTTATCAGAGTTCAGGTTATGGTGAATTCCAATGAACTTTACGAGCTACCACGACCAACACTGGCAAAAATCGTAAACATTGGAGGTGTCGGCGTGCAGCTCAAGGATGCTAAACCGCTGACTACCGTAAGTGTACGCATCAACGGGCTTAGAACCGCATATGTCACACCCATTTGGAACAACCCGACCTTCCACCTGTCGGAACCAGCGTCAGTCATTGCGTTGGGCAGAAATTTGGGTTTGGTTCGAGAAGGAAGAAATGTAGAGATAGGACTGTTATGGAAGAGCAAATGACCATCCTTCCACCACCCCCCAAGGTAGAGTGGTTCTACCGTCATCCCTCCTCAAGTTAGCCTTTCATTAGGTCATTAACAACAGTCCTACCTCTATCTTTCTTTCTTATCTTTCTCCTGCAAGTCCGTCGAGTCCGTCGAAGAACAGTCGGGGTATATGTTTGCAATGAGCAAAAATCATGAGATTTAAAAAAAAGAATACCCGACTCCACCGAATCTTTTCCAAGTAGACCTTTTCTCATGGTCATCCCAATTGTCGTTATGGGTATGACCACACTTGATAGGTGTTTGAACGATCAAGGAGTGATTAATCCTGTTATAAACTCCGCTAAACGGTAAATTTTGTTAAGGAGAATGAATGCTATGAATTCAACATCTTCAATTGTACTGTTGTTGATTGGTCAAATGAAAAAATCGTTAAAATTACAAATTTGGGAGTGCAGGAAGCGTGGCGCATAGTGGAACTGGTCGCGAGTAAAAAATTTTAGTTCGCTCCATAATGATTACATGATTTCAGTATTCCTAGAGAACGCGATGGTGGCGACGGTTCACAGCATTTCAGGAGTTCCAGCAAATTGTCGACCACTGTGAAGGATTAGTGGTGTTCTCGTTTGGTTCAGTGGCTCCTAGCCATCTAATGCCAGAAACATGGAAGAAAGCATTCCTGGAGTCCTTCGCCCAATTCCCGAATCTGAGCTTTGTGCTCAGATACGAAGGGACTGATCTCAAAGGTGAAGTTGATCGTAGTCTATCGGAGACATGACAGAGGAAGGGTTAGACTTGAAAGCAATCGTCCACGGAAAAATTCCTTAGAAGGAAATCAATTTTCTCTCCTGATTTTTTTTCATCTCAAAAGGGTAACCTGTTTGAAAGATGGCGGCTCCTTTAACGTTTGGGTCTCCCGCGCGCACTATTGATTCGCTGGTACACTCGTTGGACTAGCTCGCAGCATGATATCAGACTTGCTGGTTGCACACGTTATACGATTATGCTCGCTGCGTAACGCATCGATTCACGAGTGCGCTAGTCGGAATACGCTCGATTCGCATACTATGATATCGGCCTATGAATGTGTTGTGCGTGATTGTGGGGGCCATGTGCCAAGTTTAAGACGAAAAGAATGAAATCTGAAAAGAAATGCTATGGCTGACAGGTATTTGAGCCCTAACTGGGCGGGAAGTGGAATTACGGCTGCGATTGGACAGCCCAACCAGGGTCAACCCTGCGTTGCGCAAAGAACAACGAGGGGGTCGTATTCAGCCGACCGAAAAGGGAGGGGGTCGTATCCAAACGGGCTGCAAGACGGCTTGAAAAGTGCAGTGTCCGGGAGTGCACTTTCAGCCTCTAATGTTCTCCAGGAGCTCTGCACGCTGTCGGAGAGTCACACAGACATGAGCTCCATGGGAGCATTAAAGCATGCAGAGCACTATAAGTCTCACCATCAGCTTATTATCCTTAAGCGACGCTATCCGGACTGCGCTTTTGCTCCGCGGCATAGATCAAGAGTACAATAGACAATAGCCAAAAACTTTGTTACAGTGTAGTGCAAAAACATGGTCTGTCTTCGATGATGAAACATTCCTGAAATCCCGAGGAGAACAAAGTGTAGAGCAGTTCATGGGAAAGTGAAACAAGAGTGCCATATAACAGCACAATACAACTCAATCAGGATACTAACACCTTCTTCAGGAAAACAGAAGACTTTCAAAATGCGAGTGCGAACTCTGCCCACAGATAGGTGCACGGCGTATACCCGAGGCGTTTTCCCATAAAAACGCCTCCTCTGTCAGCGGCCGTAAGCAGACAAACTTTCTGAAGAGAGTTTCGATGCTTTCAAATAAAATCTAAGCGAAACAAAGTGTAGCGAATTTGCTGAATGAGTTCTAGAGACGCCGTAGGAAAATTGAGGCAGAAGAAAGAATTTCAGGAAATTTCACAGTTGTTTATGAAGTACTCTTCGAGTGGATTCCAACAATCTTTACACGCTTTTAAAGGAAGTTATGGGCCTTTGAAGACTGCATAGTCGCGGTCCAGGAAAATGGCTTGAAAAAAATCAAGGTGGAAAAAACGGAACAACGGGACTTTTTGAGCGAGTGATTATTTCAAGAAGTTTTAGCACTTATTCGAAAGCTCTAATCCTCTAGTTTCTAATTAGCCTTAGACATCTGCAAAATGTTGAGTATGAAGAAAGTTATTAACGTTTGAATGTCGAAAACTCGCGCCTTCTCAAAAATCGGACCCCAAACCACCCAAGAACGGAACAACGGGACTATTTTTTGAAAAAATGATCGCTGGAAAATTTTCAGGTGCTTGTTCGAAAGCTCTAATCTTCTAGTTTCTAATTAGCCTTAGACATTTGCAAAAAGTTGATTATGAAGAAAGTTATGAATGTTTGAATGTCAAAAACTCGCGTGTGCACAGAAAACGGAACAACGGGACGATTTTTTGAAATATTGAACATCCACAACATTTCAAATACTCCTCAGAAAGAAAACTATTTATATTTCAAAATTTTGGTGTCCGATTTCATGAAACAGCTTCTACGAAGAAAATTTGGAAATTCCTTCTATCTAATGAATAAAACTTCATTTGCCTCGATTCACTCCTCTGAGCGAGACAAAGCGCGCGGATTGACCACGGTCCACCACTTCTCCATGTTGGTGACTGCCATCATTGATGAGCATTGATGAGCATTAAATTATGTGAAAGACATGATAGTTAATATGGGGGGTCGTACCGATACCCCCGAAAAGGAAGGGGGTCGTAAAAATTTGGGAATTTGCGCAACGCAGGGTTGACCCTGCGGAGCTGGTGCCCCGTGTAAACTTAAACGAAATGGTCCAACGAAAAACCTTTAGTTCTTTCTGTTCTTCAACCACAGCTTGCACACTATGTTAGTTCCCCACAGCTAACACAGTTGTAGAACAGTGTCATTCGACTGAAATTCTAATTTCTTTACAGTCTCCCTAGCCTGGTGGTCTCATTCGTGCGAGCGTGGCTTATCTCCTGTCCTTTGCAGGTGTAGGTTGACAATTAAACTAGCGCATTTCTCTAAGCGTGAGTTTACTTGAATACTAGCTGACTTCGGTGGACGCTCGCCTAGCCCGCTCTTGCGTGTGTTGGGACAGGCCCTTGTCGCGGTACTCGCGACACGTGCCGGGTGTGCGCTCATACGCAGCTCGTCTCGCTCCATGGTCATTTGCGTTGAGGGCGCGCGGCCCTATAAGCGTGCGCCACGTAGTGGCCCGCCCCCAGTCGAGGCCAGTCGTCCTGCGGTCGCCTCTGCCGGTTGAGGCGCACTTCCTCTCCGTGAGGAGGGAGCCTCAGGCTACGGCGCCAAGGGGCGCCAATGGGTGACAATAAAAACGTCAACCGCGCCACTTCATAGCGCGTACGCTGCCGAACTGGCGGTTAGGGCGCGACGGTAGTCGTTTCCTCGCGGAGCACCGTAAGATCCCACCTGCGTCCCTATCGAGTTCGTCTCGACTTAACTACCGATGGTGTGATCGGCTGTAGGGCCCTCAATAACATCTGAGGGAGGAGGCAGAGTGCAGTGTAGGATTACCGCGAAGGACCCTTCCGAGGACAAGGTCAGATCCGACGCCGGCAGGACGTAAGAGTAGGACGATGGATTGTTCAGGAAAGGACCCTACATTGATTGAGTGTTATATGTGTTGTTTTATACGTGTGGAACTATGTGGTCAGGAGGCGTAGGATAAGGCACACGACTTAGTGCGGCTAACATCCGGCCCGAATGTATCGGTTGTATGTGCTTTGCTTACGTTGTTGACTGCTGTAAGATGCCTCGGGGAGCAACCGCCGATGTCGGGGGGAAACGCACGGGTACCCCCGGATGACCCGCTAGGAACAAGCACCAACCTAATAGTTGAGAGAAAGGTATCCGGAACCGCCTCTGCCGCCCGAGGGCACCGGAGGCGGTCTCGATAAACGGCACCCTTCCCCCAACGGTTCCGCGATAGCCCTTTAACAAGACAATCTTGTCGAAACCTTAGGTCACTAATCAATTCTTCACCTGAAAACCTCGTTGGCAATTACAACAGCGGCAAAGTTCCACGAAGAAGAATTTAGAATATGGTTAAGACTGGGTTTTTTGTGGAAGATTCCTTTTAGCTTCGCCTAAGGAAGTTCTTTCATAACAAGCTCAAATCGCATCAGTTCAGATAGACTTCCGCCGAATGTTCATCTATTCAAGTGGATACCACAGGCGGATCTCCTTAGACATCCAAAAACTATTGCGTTTATATCCCATGGTGGATATAACAGTTTACAGGTAAGAATCAATCACAGGTTTTCTAGGAGTACTGTATAAAATGCTTTCCAGGAGGTCATTGCCGCAGGAGTTCCATTGATAACAATTGCTCTGTGGGGAGATCAACCGAGGAATGCGAAACTGGCGGCAAAGCTTGGAATCGCTTTCAACCTGCAAAAAAGCGACATCAGCGCGACTACTATCACTGATGCTCTCAACAAAGTTATCAACGATGGAAGGTGAACGAGAGAAATCACCTATATTTCTTTTTTTGGAAAGCAGATACTAGCAGCTACTAGCTGAGAAGGTCTTCCCAAATCCCGTGGAACTTTTAATTGCTACCTAGGCGAATCTATAGAGGCTGGGATGCTGGTTACAAATATGAAGTTCAAAACTGCTACGTATGTGAACTTGCCAACGACGTTTTTAGCGATCAAATTGGTCAAAGTACAGTATAGTGTTCTTATAAGGTTGCTCACAAAAAACTGTTGCCGAGTTGCCACGCGGTGTTTGCTTTAAAGGACGAATTCACGATGAAAAGGCAACCCATTTCAAATTAACTAGGGATGGTGAGTGGTACACGAAAGAAGGAAGAACCATGAGAAACGGCCCAGAACCCGAGAAATGGGACCCCTTCCTTGCCCGTTGATTTGAGCATTGATGCGACTCTCATCGCTGTGCCCTCTTCAACACTACGCTCTCTCACCTATCTAATCACTCGCCACGTATAGACCTGCGGCGAGCAGGGTGAAAATCGTGTCGAGTACGTGGTCGCAGAGGTACGACCCCCCCCCCCCGAAATCGAGATCCTGGCACGACCCCCTCTAACAGAGCAAATTAATTCAATTAAAATAAATCCTGCAAAACAAATCAAAAAAAATCTGCAAAATAATGCTAAGGACGCCTCATCTTGTCATCTATGCACGTCTTTCATCGCTGCATACTTTTGTGTATTTACTGAAATATCGACTCGAGGAAAGAGGCATTAACTTTGTGTGACCTCAAGGCGAGGTTCGTTCAGAAACGCACAGAAATCCTGAAGACACGGGGTTGCGATTCAATCTTGATTCTTGCTTGAGTATATCAAAACAGCCGAGTGTATCAAAGGCCGATTCAACGGCAGCTGCGGCGCGATTGTCACTGGGTCAGATTTGCCGAAATTTCAAAAAAAAACGTCCGAATCTACACCCTCGATGAAAAGGTTGCATTCCTCCATTTCACAACCTTTGAAGCAGTTTGAGGTAGGAGTTAGATAGAGCTGGATTTCGCGTTTCCAACAAGTATTGAAATTGCTCTGGAAGCCTTCCATGCAGAAAGATAGGGTCTCTCAAATTTCGTCGAGTAAATGTCGAGGAGGCTGAAATTTTCACGCGAGTTTTTGCCACTTCAAGAGCAATATATCTCTTATATTGTAAGATCCTGAAAAAGGGAAGATAGTTTTGGAAAGCGGAAGGTTTGCGCTTCCTGATGGTCTGTTTAGTTTTCTTCTACAGCTTTTTGGTTGAAGAGATAATTGCGTCGAGGATCTATCGAGGACGGATCCGGCCACCTGGAAATCCGCTCCCTCTTCACCATTGCAAGTGTGATTCGTTGGCAACACTCGGAATGTGTCTAGAACAATATCTTTGAACGCAAACAATAAGAATAGGAGCAATCGTCATCATCCGATTTGGTATTGGTATAAGCCATGCATCCCTCCTCCACTCACAGTTGCAGAATCGATTGAAAGGTGTTATATGATGGGGACCTTCGAACGAAACTGTATTGTAGTAGACATAGTGTGTTGTGCTATTCCTGTAACCTAAAAAACAACTTCATTTGCCCAGCGCTTTTTCTTCACGGTTGTCGTTTTTCCGACAGGGTCCCTAACAACAGCGTCATTCTCAGCGAGGTATTAAGGGAGAAGGAGCGAGTGATAGGCGGAGGAGGTGCCTTTGCAGCGCGTGCGCACATGTGGCAGTCTTCTTTGCGGGGATGCACTTTCATTCTTTGTACTGCCTTCAAATACGCCCTTCTCATGAAGGTGGAGGAATGGAGCGACTGAACCTGCAAAGAAAATTTAATATCATTTTTTTCGGATGTTTTCATTTTCTGCTGCGCTATACCCTATTACCTATCTGCACCATGATACCACTTCTGTTACTGACCCCAAGAGTACGACCCCCCATGGACCAGCCCAACAGGTACGACCCCCCTGTCGAGGATTTCCTCGACCGATATTCACCCTGCGGCGAGTGATCAGCTGGTCGGTGGGCGGAGATCGCCGGACCCGCCAACTTTGAGGCATGATAGGTCGCCGAGGTCAAATTTTTCCATGCGAATTGCGCGTCAGTTCGCACCCTCAGGAGGTCCGTGGGTTCCCTCAACTAGGTCAATTACTTCTTCCTCGACCTCCATTCTAATCGTAAATTCCTCCTTTAAAGAATTTGACAACGGCAATCTATTGAATATTTATTCAATTCCTAAGATCCAACTGTCATTGATCAGCCGAATAGTTGCTCTGACGCGATACTGAACGATAGAGAATATTGTCCCAGGATTTTGCGGGTCCAGTTGTAGCCTTTGAAAGTGGCGAACGTGACCTTGAAGCTGGAAATCCGGAAAGCTGACTACCGTTGACATCATCTTTAATGCGGCCATCTGAGCTTGTGCAAAACAACATAATAGCAATCGACGATTTCTGTAACACTGATTACTGTAGCTTTTGCTACACCAAGGTTCAATTCCCACGATGGCAGAATTTTCCCATTTCAGGTGGGCACTTCCAAATTGGTGATAGACGGTGTCAGTCCCAAGAACAGATTTCGTTTCGTAGTCGTAGCAATCGGTATTCTTTAGAAGGAGGCTTTTATCAAATACCATTACACCAAAATAGCATTCACAAACAACCTTTCCATCTGTAAATTCCTTGCAAGCTCCTGTGGCAGGCAATCCATCTTCACATCTATAACCTCCATTACCCACCCTTACAGGCTCTATCGATACTCTTGGGCCTCTAATCAGCGTTCCATAGGAATTAAACTTCGCTCGTAAAAATATCGAAAACACGTGAATTCAGTTATTCGCGAAACGTCAAGCGATTGTCGTTGATGGTGAAGAAGCAGCCCGTGAGTCCGGCTCATCGACTGGTGGCTTGGGCAGAATTCGTTGCTGAATTCAAGACGCTCGACAACCTCGTTCCGGCCGGCACAAAACTCAACTTCATCCAGTATCACTCACTGGATGTGATAGCATTTTTGTCAACAGTTGTACTTCTAGTGATTTTCATTTTGTGGAGGTTATTGAGATTCCTTCTCTTCAAGATATTCAGTTTAGTATCCAAGGCTAGAAAGCTGAAGCAAAGTTAAGTGATATCAGTTTCTTTACTTATTTGTGAGATATAGAAGTTTTCTAAATAATGTAAAGCATTGCCAGAGAAACATGCTCGCGAAATAGCACGTCATTAAACAGATAAGCTTGATAAAATCCGTGTATCAAAGAATTGCCAGATGGTAGCTGGGTACCCCCAGGAGGCCCGTCGCGCGGCAAGAAGGCAGAGTCGCGGACGAGTTGCAGCGCGTGATGTGCGATGTAGGACGTGCAATGGGACACTCTTTAACTTGACGCGAAATCCCTATAGTACGCGCGCGACTCGTCCGCTGACTTTGCCTTCTTGCCGCGCGACGGGCCTCCTGGGGGTACCCATCGTAGCTTTGAAGGGTGCTAGTTACGGAGGGTTCGAAGTTTCAGAATATGCTGTCGAAGTCCATAATTTTTCGTACTCACGCCTGCACCTCTGAATGCAACTGTATCTTACGCCTGTTTATGAAGAAATTATCCAAAACTAATCCAAATCCGAAATGAAGATGTAACCGTACTGTTCGATGCGCAAATCATCTTGAACAGTGGAGGGAAGGAACAGGGTGGGGAGGGGGGAACCGTTTGATGTTGAGCACCCAAGCCATGGCAAACAATTTTTATTACGACCGTCAATAAAACTTGAGGGAAGCAATGAGAGAAGCAATTGTGAACCAGGAAATGAGGCTTTGGGGAGAGCGGGCAGAAATTGGAGGGTGTTTCCGATGCCAAATGCATGTGATTTCAGGTGCTATAGCAATAACGGGGCATTTCGTCTTGAACGTGTGCATTCTGGTCGAGTCGTCACATACATATTTACTAGGTTAAGACTTGGGACTTGTTCCAACTAAGTATATTCTGACCCAATGCCACCTGATCAATTTTTATGCATTCCGCTGGTTTTTATGAATTTTGCCACCCAGTACTTTTGGACTTTGAGTGCTATCGCAGGATACGGGATGATCCAAATGGACTAACGATGAGACAGGAGCGCGGAAAAACATCGAAAAAGGCTCAAGGCTCAGACATATTCGACAAAGAGGAGATGTTTTACGAGGCTCAAAACGCATTGCCACAATGCCCTCCTATCTTGCGATAGCCCCTTAAAATCATCTTCGTTCCCTTAGCTTCCAGGAAGTATTATCCTTAATGTTTCATAAGAATACTGGGTTGTGAACTTAATGCTCTTCCTTCCTTTGGATGTAGAGAGGTTAGTGAATCACGAAGTATGTGCTTTTCGGTTTGGTCTCCTACGCGTTGGTTGACAACTGCCTGAGGCCTGGTGATCCACTAAATCCATAAAATCGACACTCGTTCGTGGTGGCGTGTGCTGCCACACTTTGGCCCTCGAATTTCACAAGTTTCCACGCCATCGATTAGTGAGAAATTCCTTCTTATCTCATTTTTTCATTCTGAAACATTGTTCTATTTTTCAATTAGAAGCACTGTTGGTGCTATACAAGTGGGGTGGGCACACCCAGCTTTTCACGCATGTCAAGTGACTGCCCTCACCCCCACCCCCTAGATTGGCTACACTCCCCCTGGCTCACGAATTCCCCGATTCTCGTGACAGTATAGTAGCGGGCAGCAGTCCCACTTACATACATTTCTGTTCAAAAAATGCGGCGTGCCCACCCTACTTGTATAGCACCCACTATTCTCGTCTGCACTACAATTTCGAGTTTTGTGACTGATCAATAATGTAAAACCGGTCCTGGAGTTATTGTTGTACGTTTATCAACCCTCTCTTGCATTGGAATTCCTTTCTCTCCTGTTTTTTCCTCCTTAAGGATGCTATTTTGTCGCATGAGCGCCCCATCCCTCTCGTAACTTTGCTGCTAATTCTTTGGCGCTGTTGAGACGGGAGGGTTAGGTGATGGAAGGGCTGGACCCCTGCATTTGTATGAATGAAATAGCACAATCTTAGGTGCTATACAAGTACATACATAGGGTGGGCACACCGTTTTTTCAACAGAAATCTATGTAAGTGGAACCGTTCCCCGCTACTGTACTCAGTCACTTGACATGCGTGGAAAGATGGGCGTGCCGACCCCATTTGTTAGCACCCAATCTTATTCTTTCACGATAGCTTTCAATACGGTAAGGAGAAACATTCTGGCGCTGTCAGCGTATGGAGAGGAAAGCTTTTGGTTATGGTCACCCTGGACATTGAAAACCACGAGAAGCTTCATACATGCATGGGGGAGGGGGGGGGGGGGGCAAAAAAGAGTCACTTTCACTCACATTCAAAACAGAATTAATTACACTTTGCCAAAACCAAACCGAATGAGCTCAATTGCATATTGAAGAGCACATTCTATTCTATCAAAAAATTGCATAAGGCTTTCTACACCGACGACATCAGAAGATTTTCCCACGGAAACATGGTTCGCGGTACGAGCTCAACGAGGTCGTCGAGAAACCATAGACGATTACGACGTCTCTGAAACGCTGGTCAAAAGCCATTTGCATAGTCAGAGCTAGTGTCCCTAGAAGCCATTCACCAGTTATCCGATTGAAGAAATTATGTAGCAGCTTCAGAATGGAGCGATTATGGTAGGCCTCCTTGAGCTCGACGGTGATGACAGATGACGTCATATTCTGGAGACGGTGAAGGCAGCGAAGGTGGGCCTGATTCTGCTATGGGGGGACATCTAAGGAATTTTCCGTATACAGTGCGTACCAAAAGTATGTGGACACCCTGGAATCGATTCTCAGGGGTCAGCTAAAGGCTTTTATGTCATGAAACCTTCCACCATTCAACTCCTAGTGGTCGATAACCTACAATGATATTTTCGGCAAAAGATTTCGTTCTAACTTAGCGAACTATTTTTCATGGAAAGTTTTTTCTTTGTATCAAAATTATGTGGACACTTTTTGAAAAACGGCAATATCTTCAGAATCTGAAATCGGTAGGCCTACCAAAGTTTCTAGTAAGTTGAGCCATTCTGTTTGGCATGCTATGAATGGGGTCTGGATACATGTCTTGCAGATCTGTTCCCAACTAGCAAATTTCACCGACGTGTTAGGTCACTTGTGATATTACTCTTTTGTTCAATGACGTAGAGACCGCGAACCACGATACCTCTACGTTTTCAATAAGGATGAAGTCTGAGGAATACGCTAGCCGACTTGCCAATCAAAGCCGTTGCGTTTAGCATTTTTCCAAATGGAATGGTGTCAGGGACCTCCCCTGCAAAACAAGTGATTTGCAACCATGACTTTTCGAAAAAGGTTGTAGCCGGGACTCAAGCACCTCATTATAATCCTAGTCGTCTACCTGACATGTTGGCAAGCCAAACTTCAATGTCCCCTCCTTTTGGAACCACCCCAGACCTTTGATGAACATCTTCCGAATTGTCTCTTCGAGCACATCTGCGGGTCCGACCAAAGTCTCTCCAAAAACCTCAAGACCCACCCGAATAGTAAGGAATAAGCTTCTTTCTGCCAGTCGAGTTGGTCTATGAGAGAAATTTCCACAGAAAGTCTTTTATACTAATTTTACCATTTCCACGAAAGCACTGTCTGTGTGGGTTCAAAGTATCATGTTGTGATCCTTTTTTGAGTGGGAATTCCAACCTTGCCAACCTGAACCCGCATTCATATACAAAGCCTTCTTCATCTTCTTTCGTGTCGTGTGCTCAATTGATTGAATGAGACACCGATTGGTCTTTTTAAGATCGGGAAGATCATTTATGCGTAAAGTTGAGTAGTACGAAAAGAATAATTTGAGAAAATTAAGGCTATTCTTCTCCTGTTTTGAACAAGTAGCGATTGAGAACAACCCTCAGTCAAGGTCGAGAGCTTAGCATCAGGATTTCGGATTTCTCTCCAAACCTACGAGGACGCATGACTGGTTGACGTGCTATTTCGCAATAGGAAGGTTCAGAAGCATGGGGATCCCATTTCTGTGCTCGGTCTTCTTCAGAAAAACGCTTGCCGTGAAGAGGAATGATGCCAGAATAAGTAACGAAAGGAGAAAGTAAAAATAGGTTAGGAAATCGATGCAAAAACTTCATCTGCCTCAGGGTGTCCACATAATTTTGATACAAAGAAAAAACTTTCCATGAAAAATAGTTCGCTAAGTTAGAACGAAATCTTTTGCCGAAAATGTCATTGTAGGTTATCGACCACTAGGAGTTGAATGGTGAAGGTTTCATAACACAAAAAGCCTTTAGCTGACTCCTGAGAATCGATTCTAGGGTGTCCACATACTTTTGGTACGCACTGTATAACTCCAGATAAAGAGCGTACCTTTGCGACAAAAAGATGATATGGGTTAAGAGACTCTTTATTGACCCCCCCCTGTATACTCTGCATTTCGTGTGAAACACCAAGAACATCAAGGAGATGAGGATTATGAGAGGCGAGAACTCCGAGTTGAACGGATGATAGCCCATTTCAGAGTTCCATACGCCCTCACAGTTCTCATGGCTTGACTCGCAATCTTTTTTCGCGCATTGTAAACACAACAGCTACAACATGATCACAACAAAAAATGTGATTGACACGAAAAAAAACAAAAAAAAAAAAAAAAAAAAAAAAAAAAAAAAAAAAAAACACGAAGAGGTAGTGGAGTAAGTAAGTGGTAGTACATGGTGGTAGCACCGTTGAAGGACTTCCTGTGCAAAATCGGGATAGCCGTAACTTGCACAGCTCGTTGCAGCAAAGTGCCTCGCCATAGAGCAACAGTCTTATATGAGGAGATTAATAATCCATTTGGAATATGCGCCGTGCATAGTACTTTCATTCAGAATCGTAGTGGCAATTCAATGCGATTTGGTCCATACAAATCTAGCAGGTGCAGGAAAAGCATTGACTATTCGAGTTTCTGTCCTTTTCTATTACCGAACAGTACGATCAGTAGACCTTTGAGGGGTGCAGGCTTGGCTTACGATTAGACGAAATTCGATCCCGGCTCTTTCCACCAGATCGGGAGCATGTAGATGAGGGATATGGTCAATGTAACATAATAAAAGTAATCTTAACAAATTGCACACTACTACTAATT